TAATGGTTAATTACGTGATATAGGAAAGCAAGTTCAAAACACGCTTTCATACTATATTATTTTGACGATAACCTCTTTTTAGAGTAAGTGAAAATCTCAGACGGACGGGAGCCCTACTTACTTGTGTGAGTAGACCCAGACTGACTCGTAGACAGGAAGGGACATCTATCAATTATTAGTCGCAGTAAATTCTACTTTATAAAAAAATATTGATCAATGTAATAGCCCGTAGGTAAAACTGCGAAAAAGTTAGAGAGAGCCTGAGTTACTTTGATGTAGGTAAGGTACCACTACACTCGTACTATCCACAGCAGACATAGAGCAACACGGGACACCGGTGGATCGGAGGGGAGTAGCCATACATATACGTTCCGCTCTGTCAAATCAAAGTATAAGTCCACATACTTTGATTTGACAGAGACATTAAAATGTATGTTAGAAAAGCAATACACTGCAGAGATTTTAAAAATACTTTTGTATGCAAAGTAATGGTTTTTTTATCATTAGCCGTTTATTCATTTCATTCATTACAACCCATAAAGGCTTCTCAATCGCTGAAAAAATAAAAAAATACATTTAAAAAATATTGTGTCTATTTCATCCTGTATTTCAGGAAAAATTATCGTCGACGATCAATGGAGAGGAGAAGGAGAGCTTGGACGGAACTGTGGACGATAGTCAATTTATGAAACCACCGTTCACAACAGTTCGTAGCCGTAATAAACCCATAGAACTTGTGGCTGCTGGAGCAACAGTCAAGGATACTCTGGTGACTAAAAAAAACAATGAACAGTCGACGCATTCTAGAAGAAGATGAATGTGACCTCCACGGCAAAATTATTGCTAAAATGTTGAGAAACTTACCCGAAAACGAAAGAATGGAAATTATATCTATACTAATATAATAAAGCGGAAGAGTTTTTTTTGTTTGTTTAAACGCACTAATCTCTGGAACTACCAGTCTGATTTGAAAAATTCTTTTTGTATATTATAGCCAGATTCATGTGGAATAGTATAGGCTATCTAGCACTAAGCTATATTACTCAGCTAGCCTTAAATTGGAATATTTGTTAAGCAAGTCAGAAGAAAAAGCACTCCCGAAATGATTTATCCGCGTACGCTGGTGTTATCGTTAGGGATACGTAAATACAATGTTCTAGAAAAATATAGACCTTTACTCCGTCTAAAAAAAAAGTCCGCGATACCATATGTCTATTTCTTATACATAAGCCATAATTTGGTATTTTGTGACAAAAAAATATTGAAAATTTAAAAGTGATTTATGAGCGTTATTATTAGGCATGGCGTATTTATCCTTACGAACGAAAGTTACTTCATCATCAAGACAATTTTATGAAGATAAACTTTGTTCTTCATACCATGTTATTTGGACGCATAGTTTAAGAGATAATGTAAAATTAAAATAATTCAATACTTGGCTGGGCGCGCGAACGTCGCTTAAACCCTAGCCGTTATAAAATACTTGAACTAGGTCATGTCGCGCACCTCGGACACGTGATGACGCGGGTGAAACCGTGGGGCACAGCTAGTGTGATATACAATTTGTTCCTGCAGCATGAACAACGCAATCCAGCATTATTTTCACTATCTGTTGCATCACCAAATCCGTGGCTAACATATTCCTACAACCAGACGCAAAGACATTTTTCTCAAACAAGGGCGTGTTCGGAACCAACTACATCTTACCTGATAGTACATAGTTCACACAGGAGTTATTCCGAACCACCAATTTACTATTACTCGTCACCTTCAGAAATACACATTCCCGATGGAACCCCAACTTCTGCTGCTTCACACGTTATATTAACTTTTTTTATATAGAATAAGGGTGACAAACGAGCACACAGTCCACCTGATGGTAATTGGTTACTGTGGCCTATAGACATCTACATCTATCTTCTTTTGCGAATTAAAATGCAGATGCGTTGTCAGCCGTGAAAAATAAGATAGAATGCCTCTTTTCCTGTAAAAAGGGTCTTCGGTTCTCTATGTTCATCATACGAAACACAGCAGCATTAAGCTGCTATTTTACGCTGGTATTCTGTGAGAGCGTGGTCCTTCCCCGGTCGAGCCGACCCATTCGCGTTATATGCAGCATAGCTCTACCACGTATAAAATTCAAATGAATGTATTCGGCCGGCTAGTCCAGAAACGGCTTGATTAATAAATAAGTACTTATTCTTTTAGTTTCTATACTTCTATACAAATTAATAAAATTGAGGTGTCTGTTTGTAATGTCGAAATAACAGCTTTTTACTATATACATATGAAAGTATATATAGTACGTATAACAAAAACAACGATTTTAATTTTTGTCTGTCAGTTTATTCCGACTAATCTCCGAAACAGCTAGACCGATTTTGGCCGGCCTTTCCCTGGCAGATAGCTGATGTTAAAAGAAATAACTTACGCTACTTTTATTTTAGAAAAAGAATTAGGGTTCCGCGCAAAAAATTAAAACCCATGAAATCCAATCGTAATAAATTACGCACGGGCGAAGTACGCGGGGAACAGCTAGTTAATAATAAATTGTTTTCTTATTTACTTTAATTTCTTCTTTTAGGGTTTCATTCAAAGAATGACATACTTCTGGAATAATCTTCGATATTACGAGTAGAAGAGGTGAAATCTATACAAATAATTAAAATTGAAGAGTCTATTTGTAGGTAATGTCAAAATGACGGCTTTTTACTAAATGCATATGAATGTATATACAGTACTAATAACAAAATACAATTTTAATATAATATGAAAGTATATACGATATTTATAACACAAACACAATTTTTAAATTTTTTCTCTGTCTATCGGTCTTTCTGTTTGTTCCGGCTAATCTCTGAAACGGCTGGACCTTTTGACGGGAGTTTCACTGGCGGATAGCTGATAAGTCATAAGGAGTAGCTTAGGCTACTTTTATTTTAGAAAAAGAATTAGGGTTCCGCGCAAAAAAATTAAAACCCCAAATAACACGCGGGCAAAGTCGCGAGGAACAGTTAGTTTTAAATAAAAAGTGGAGACTCGAAAATATCTTCAGTAGCCAATATCGCAATGTAATGATAACGCGTATTCTAAGCCGGGATGGCTTGTTTTAATTGAGTGTCTCGTTTGGCTATCACTGGTAAAACCTTTATTAAGTTGTCACAATCCGATTGAGACATTCTCGTAATTTTATTAAATTCTGCTGATGGTTCAGCAACTAATTCGTTCAACTGTCTATCCATAGTTGCACTGAAAAGAGTACCTACAGTAGGTATTCATAAAAAATAAGTACATATACAATTTCATTAAATGCACAAGATATCTAAACAAATAAACAAAATTGAAGTGTCTCTTTGTAAGGTCAAAATTACAGCTTTTTACTATGCCTATGAAAGTATATACGGTACTAATAACAAAAACACAATTTTTAAAGTTTTTGTCTGTCTGTCTGTCCGTCTGTTTGTTACGGCTAATTTCCGAAACTGCTGGACTTATTTTGACGAGATTTTCACTGGCAATTAGCTGATGTCACAAGGAGTAACTTAGGCTACTTTTATTTTAGAAAAAGAATTAGGGTTCCGCACGAAAAATTTAAAACCCCAAATAACATGCGGGCGCAGTCGCGGGGAACATCTAGTGTTCAATAAATTATTAATTTACCTGATTCTATTGCGATAAATTTGCGTCATCCACCAACGTCTTTATCTCCATCTCTTTTTTTAAGTGTTTCTTATGTTAAATACAAAGGTAATTGTAATACGCTATGGCAAGCAGCATCATAAGTCACGTCGTCAATTTTAGTTGAGGTCGAAAACAAGACTGTGAAGCTCTTTGCGAGTGTGGAGGGACAGTTTACGGCCGAACGCGTCGTGAATACGCGGAGCGATTTCGCGGGCTTAATAAGCTACAGGCTGAATTTCTAATCGAATTCTTTTATACTTTGTACGTGGTAGAGCCACGGTTCAGCTATTATACCATAGTTGTAGCAGGAATCGGTCGGCTGGACCGGGGAAGTATGCTCTCATAGAATACCAGCGTAAAATAGCAGCTCACTGCTGCTGTGTTTCGTATAGTGAGTGTAGAGAACCGGAGACCCTTTTTACTGGATATGAGGCATTCCATCTTAGTCCTCACAGGTGACAACGCATCTGCAATTTTGATTCGCAAACGAGGATAGATGTAGATGTCTATGGGCCACAGCATCCAATTATCATCAGGTGGGCCCTTATTCAGTAAAAAAAATCTGGGTCTCACCCGTAGATTCCATCATAGGGGAGATATTTATAGTAGTTGTCACGCTTGGCAACCACAGTTAATTATAATTATTATTGAGTTATCGATATTTTATTTAGGGGGATATAAGGGCGTGCTTCGGTGGTTTGGGCACGTTGAGCGAATGAGTGAAGACCGAATGGTGAAGAAAATATATAGCGCGAAAGTTAATATTAAAAGGTGTCGAGGTAGACCGAGACTAACTTTCGAAGACCATGTGAGCAAATTGCTCGAAGAGGGTAGGGTCAAGAGTACTCGGATACCTAGACGTGCATGTATGAAGAAGATAATGAATCTGAAAGAAGCGAAAGAGTTATGTAAGGATCGTGACACTTGGCGATCTGTTCTCTCTGGCTACCCCGTCAGGGATTGTGCGTGAAGATAAGTAAGTAAGATATTTTATTTAATAATTAACAATATTTCAGTGTCCTGTCGCTTCTTACGAGACCCACGGCATGATTTGTGGTAGTGGATTCTCTTACTTCGCTACTATTCGGCATTAGCTGTTACAAAATATTAAAGTATTTTGATTCTTAGTTTTTATTAACTCTATTATGTATTGCCATTTAATATAATTTACATTTGAGATCTTCTGTTGCGTTCCGGGCATAGACAAAAAACTATCAGATTTTTCTGAGAGATAGAACTGTGGTTATAATTAAAATAAAAATAGTTTTTATTCTTAATTAGTATATAATTGGAAAAGGTAAGAAATAATACGCTTTTTTATAAATACCGAATCATTTTATCACAGAGAATCACATTGTGTTATACAACATATTTACGTACGTGGCTTGTATAAAATACTCCTTACAATATGACGTTGATTAATAATTTTAGGTATATACATATTATATTAACATTGAACAACTAAGTTACCATTTGAAATGTTACTGCAAAATACTATCAGTTTACTGATTATAACATTTTAATCAAATTAAAATTTTAAAAATTAAATAAAGTTTATAATAAACTATACACAGAATATACCTTTATAGGAGTTAGTGCTGCAAGTGTGTTTACAATAATAAGGCTCAAATGATAACACTTAAGTATTTTGTATTTAATTACATGTTGCAATACACTCCTACTAAAATATTCGTAAAAATTATCGCATTTTATTGTAAGGTTTGTTTCGAAATCGTCGAAATAGGATTACGTGTAATATATATGTGCAGAAACAAATGATCAAAATACGGCTAAAATAATTACACAAAAATAAAATAAATTTGTAATTTAACGTAATATTATGATAGTTTGATTATGGCAATATTTACAAAATTGATATAACTTGATGAAACGAAATATATATTTTAGCAACGTATTAATAATAATAGATGAATAACGATATAAAGATTTCATTAAATTGAATGATAGAAGAATGGAGCGAGATTTAAAGGAATATAATATACATAAACGATCCAATAAGAGTACACACATTCTAATTTCCTTACAGCTAAGTTTCAATGGTATATTCATACTGACTAAACTATCAGCTAAAATTTTGTCTGTACAGATAATTCAAAATAGAGACACAAGATTAAATAACATATTCTATTTACATCGTTACATATTTGGACTGGATTAACTTTAAAATTCCTTTTGGTTATTTACAAAAATAGAGTATGTAAGCCAGATTCTGTATGGAATAACTTTCAGTGATATCAATGTGTTGATTATAAAATTTAAGAAATATTTTGAATAAATAGCTCAAATTAGTAAAAAGTGGTAGGTTTCAAGTAAATAAAGAAAAAGAAAAACGCATTTCGATAAACGGTCTATTGCGACGTAACTACCGACACAACGCACCCAAAGTCCATCGCTCAATATAGCCGCAACTACTTTAACAAAATTCCTTTTTTTTTTTAAACTGAAATGACAAACCAACTTACAGTCCCTCAACTCACTGATAGCAAGTGGCTACTGACGCCCATGGACACCTACAGCCAATTATAAACAAAGACGGCTACAGATGCGTTGGGGACTAAAGACTAAGATGGAATGCCTGACAACCTGTAATTGTACTGGCTCTCTACACCCTTCAGAATGGAACACAGCGGTGCGTGTATTGCTATTAGGCTGCAGATATGGGCTCAGGGTGGAACACACCCAGACGAACTCCTCGGCAGAGAAAACTCTACCACCCAGTAAAAGGTTGACATGATTGAGAGGACACATAACGAGACATAAGCGTTATGTGTAACAGCCATAATGACCAAAACTTTCGAATCTCAATTTTTGGATTCGTATCGGACGCAGTGCACCTAGTTTTCTAGATGTGTTTAATGGAACTGGTTTCAAATGCAGTGCTCAAACTCTCTAAGAATAACTAAATCTCGTGCTAAAACATATTTGAAATAATTTAATGATACAGACTATAGATAATATACCCCAGGATTAAGAATTCCTTGTTTCATTGAAAAAGAAAACATCAATTTTTAGATGTCCATGAATTATAAAATGCCAGGACATTATAAAGCATAGACCACTAATGATTGCGTCTTTGTTTAAAACTACTGAAATCCATTTAAGGGGATGTGTTGCACTGGCAACAAAGAACGAAAGCTATGGTTAGTGAAATTTACGCATATCATGTTGTATAAATTATGTATTTTGCACGACCAAATTCAAATACAAGTTCTCCCTACATTATCAATTTTTATTTGTTTATCTACCTATGTAAATATATGGTACAGACGGTTTTTCTTTAAAATTTTATCAAGAAAACGCAGAAAAAAACACCTTATGGAAACATGCATGTCTGAGGAATAAAATTTATTGGGAACATGTGAAATCGCAAATCGCTTCACAACCCTCTCAAAAATAACTTGAGCATTACAGTATATATTTTAATAGAATGAAGATACCTAAAATAATCAACAGTACTGGCCGCTATTTTTTTGTAATTGTTAAAAAAACAGGGAGTGTTTACTGCTTATTTTTTTAAATCACATTTATTCTTCGGTGGACACTATTCCTTCATGAGTGAATAAAACTGTTATTTTAAGAAGAAAATCGATAATCCAGTATTCGATAAAGTAATGTTGATGTGGCTAGCTCGCCAATTTACTGTAAACGCAGTCCCCACTACATTAGCGTTCTATGCAAATTAAAGTGTTTGGTAGCGAACAAAGTTCAGGGCACAGCCTTTTACAAATAAAATATTGTATGGCATCGACATGAGACGAATAAGCATTTTGTGAATGGAATAAGCCACGATGTTACGAATAGTTATATAAACCATTTTTATACTTTATTTGTGATTTTAATCAAACATTTTGTGAGATCGCGTCGAAAAGACAGTGTGAAAATATTTTTTTTTTATAAACACACAATTATTAGGTAATTTAAAGTCCTACACCTCCATTTTATGTTTTTAGTTTTAATGCATCTTACATTTTGCATTTTTTTACCCCGGTTTTGTTTTTTAATTCGGATATATTATGTCAGCCTCTCTTAGCATTTGACACAGGCAAGAAAATATTCAATTTTTTTTAAATAACCACTATTCTTATCCTAATATTTCCAGGAAATTATAATAAATAAGATTAGTAAATAGTAACGCTCTTTTATCTGAAATATAGGAATGGAAATAAATAAATATACAAAAATTAACAAAACTACAATCATTGGCTTGAAACTGGTGAAAACTTTTGAGCATAAAAATACTCGTTCATAAACTTGCATTGAAATTCAAACATCAGGAGATACAAGATGATCTAAGAGAGTTCAAAGCCTGTATTGCTGTTGACTGCGTAGCGTAGTTTATCGCGAAGCGTGCTCCGCTTTTGATAGTTGGGCAGCTTTAGCAGATTAAAGCAGGTCGATGAGGTGGGGAGACGGTTCAGCGGGTCCTTCTTTCTAATCGTGAAGAATCCTCTAATGACGCTACCTGTTAAAAAAACAGTGGTTGTTAAGTGATAGATACAGCTGAAATGTGTAAATGTAATATTAATTTTCATTTTTTCTTTAAATCACACTAGACGCGAAGCTTTAAACGGACCCTCATAAATCACAACTAGCAAGCAGACTTAGTTCTGCAGCATATGCTGTAAAAAAGATTGGAAATCTTACTAGTGTTGAAACAGCTAGACTAGTTTACTTCAGCTATTTCCATAGCATAATGTCGTATGGTATTTTGCTATGGGGACACGCAGCTGACACTGAAATTATATTTGTTTTACAGAAGAGGGCCATAAGAGCAATCTATGATTTAAAAACCAGAGTCGCTTAGACAAAAATTTAAGGAAATTAATATATTAACTTTGGCTTCTCAATAAATCAACGAAAATGAAATGTACACAAAAATAAAAGTAGTTTTAAAGAAATAAGTGATATTCATTCTGTAAATACTAGGAACAGACACAAAGCTAGTAGTACCAGTTACTCGACTCCACCGAGTCAGTAATTCATTCTTGGGGCGATGTATACACTTTTACAACAAAATCCCAGAAAATTTGCAAAATTTGACCTGCTCAAAGTTCAAAATTTTTATTAAAGTAAGTTTGTAAATGTTTATGAAAAGGGTTATTATAATATTAAGGAATTTATGGATGATAATAATCCCTGGGAATGAGATGATCGCTACCAAGCTATTTCTAATTAGTTTTGTGTTGTTAATTGAGTAATATACATGATTGTAAGCTGTTATTTATTTTTTTAAAAAGTCCCGCTGCGTTTCTTGCTGGTTCTTCCTAGGACAGAGGTTTTTTCCGAACCAGTGGTAATAAAACAAAAGAGTGACTTTCAATAAGTATTATTTATAATCTATATTGAATAAAAAAGTTTGTGTCTGTTTCAAAAATAAAACTATTGTTTTTAATATTACAGTATTTAATTTTTACTTATGTACGTTTTTAATACAAGCCAAGAGCATAGGCCCATGACTGCAAAGCACTCGAAAATCAAAAATAAAAGGTAAAACCCGACTTGAAAGACATAAAAAATAATAAAACCATTTCTACATAACAGTTTCAGAAGTGTTAGGACTTTACGTTATATACAAAAGAACAGTTAAAGCACCAACTTTTTTTAATATATAAATAAATACTGGTAATGCTATTAACATTGCTAATATTCCCTTTAACCACTCCCGGTAAGCTTAAATGCTTGTGTTAGGAGTGGTTCACCACAGTAGTCGAATGGTGGATTCGAAACCACGACCTTTTGAGTTCGCAGTCTACACCATTCCATTAGGCTACTGTCGCTTCGAAGCTAAGAAGTTTTTATGTGCAAATTATTTTATTTTATTTAGTTCTTTGAAATCGGGTTTTACTTTTTATTACATAATGACTGAAGCTGATTATTTCAAAGAACGTCGGTCACGCCCATACATGCTGTGACCTGGCTAGACAATATCGCGAACATGACTAGTGTATGGATTTATCCGTTCTCCCTGGGCACAACCTAAATTCTAAATTGAAAATATATTATTTAAAAGCCGAGGATCATAGAACGTTACACTTATGTATTTCGTCACTTTTGAGGTTATAATGTGGCCATGACTGCAGTTATGACTACAACCTCAGCTAAAACAATTGATATGAAAACTATGCAGTAATATATATTCAATTAAATAAGTCAAGTCAATGGTTAAAACCACAAAAATGAATCAATAACCTTTCTAATATTTTCACTGCTAAGTATCTAAGACAGGTGCTTTGACTTTTGCTTACGCTTTGACAGCTCTCATGTCATAATACCACAGACTGCATAGAGACACTCATAATACGTTCGGTTCTAAGTATTAGTGCATTCTATATTTACTGTCAACCTATTATTTGCAACTGATTTCGGAATACTTTCCATATCCCCATCTAAAAATGATATTATTGATAATACACTAAAAAATAAATCTACAGTAAAATCTAGTATTTAAAAAAATAACGCATAATGGTAGTGTTAATTTAGTCTTATGATGAAACGTGTACCACAGATAAAAACGAGACGGGTTTAGATGCATTCAAAACCTATAAAAAGTAGTAAGGAAATGAGGTTTTTCATTACAAAGCTAAATTATTTTACTGGCCCCAATAAAATAAGTTGGACCCCGTAATTTAATATACACCTAAGTCACTATTTTTTGACGTATCAATCATTGGTGGTCGTTTTATATTTAGGTCAGGTCGTATTTGACCGATGTTCTTTATCGTAATGTGGATTGTAGGTAGTTGAAGAGAATTGTGTAACAAGACTACAAAAATTAATAAATTGCTAAAGGAAATGACATGTTTACCAATCGTGTCGCCTGTATCCTCGTCGTCACCCACTTCAACACAACGTATGGAGAAAGGTGGCTTTAAATGTGCAAATCCAAGTACGGGAGGTTTGGAGCATGACGTTACGAACTGTAAACAAAGTTTATCATTATTGTCCTATATCAGTTAAGAACTATCATTTGCAAAAAAAAAAAAAACAATATTGGATAAGGTTTTAATCATTTGAACATGTTACTGGCCGATTATAAAAGTATCGTGATGTTTAAAAAAGTTTGAGTCGCTTTTGCCTGAGACTGGTTTTTAAAGAAAACATTTTTTTTACTATGAATATGAATGCTAGTCGTGATTTCAACAACAGGGAATCACACTCTATACTAAACTTTTATCTGCTTTTACTTTTTTAGAAAAATAAATAAAATACTTATTTAATTTTTACTTAGCGAGCAGGTGCACACTACATTACTAGCGCTTTCAACTTTAACATTATTACTCATAAATTTAATCAAAATGTTATGATATAAAACTGACGAATTCCTGCCTAATTAATTGACAAAATTCTGAGTAAAAGCCTACCTAAAATTATATTTTAGGTAGGCTTTTACTCAATTTGATTTAATTGATTTGATTGAATGATTGTTCAATCTAATAGTAAAAATAAAATTGATTCTTTGCTTAATTGCCCTGTTTTTTTTTTGCAAAAGAGGTTAGCAGTAGCGAAGCTAGGGCTCCAAACTAGGGCAAGCCCAAGATATGGTTTTGTTGTTTTTAGCAATTTAATAAAAATACACCAATCTTGATCTGTTTCCACTCTTTAGTTTCATATTCAGTGCTGTCGAGGACGTATTTAAAAAAGCACACAGAAAGGCATACTAGTGCTAGACAGATTGTGTTACTATAAGCATACCTTCGGTGGCTTTGAAAAATGCCGTTTGGGTTTGCTTGAGCGAAAGAAAAAGATATTTACATACAATACAATACATGAACAAAAGAAAAGCATGAACAAAGTACAAACAATGTATAAAATTAAAAAAAAATATTTATATTCTAAATTGAATCCTCTCTCTTTCTCAAAGAAAGATTTCATTCCGTCCGCATAAAATGTTGTTAAACGTTTTAATTATACCAGTAACTGTTCATGTGGATATGAGCTGTTTTTTCTCAACAAAGTTTAAAGATTCTACCTTTTCCTCGACGATTAGCACTTTAAAACACTTTAATTCAGCACAAGGAACACTATAATCCTCTATTTTCACTAATATTCTTTAAAAAAACATAAATTTTCAACTCGCAATAACAAACAATAACAAACTTCGCTCAAGTAAACACATGGAGTAAACATTGAAATGTGTAGTGGAGTTGCAAACGTATCGCCCGGGCGCCCCCGCGCTCAACTAACTTCACACCAAAAGCCGGGCTTTTGGCTCTATACTAATTGCTATATAAACAATCGCAGTTATATTTCATTATAGAACATTTTGCCACAGGTTAGAAAGGGAGCGATCGTCTTCTCGAAAGCCCGCTAAAACCCTACGCGTGCGAGAGAGACGACTATCGCTCAACTCAACTCCTTTTTTATGACAGCAGTATTGCGCAGTTTTGCCGCGACGATTAATGAACTGTGTAGAACAGAGGAGCGCGCGGGAAATTTAAAATAGTTTGCAACAGTTTACGAGTTATTTTATTAGTTCATATTATTGAACGAGCACTTTGACGGGGCAAGCCCGGCTTTTCGGCTTCTATGGAGGCTTCGCTACCGGAGGTTAGATAAATTTAATATAATCACTTGTTTGATGGTATCCGAGCATTCAGTGACACTAGCAAGCACAGGCGAGGTATTCAAAGTTGCGCAGCATGCAAGAAGTGGCCATGGCACTTATAAAACGAAGCCGCTACTCTATATCTACTTAAAACCAGCGTTTCATGCTGGATGATGGAAGGGATGAGAACTGTTTATATATATATACATCAATCCATAATCCAATGGCTTGCCAGCACTTTTCTCAGTATAAATCTGAATGGTCTAGAAAATTTTTGATAATTTAATTATCGTTTTTCGGAAACCGAGAAATATACCAGTTTAAGGGCCGCCACATACATTCGGGATGCCGTTTCGGAATTCCGATTTAGGATTCCGTTTCGGTACTCCGATACGGGATTCCGTAAATACATCACCCACATAAGTTTATTTCCTTTCAGAATAATAAGTCTCCGTTGAGAGACGCTAGGCATTGAGTCTAGACATTCTGCCAGCGATTTTCTGATTGCGATTCCATTGTTGCTGTAACATTGTTACTGGGTGCATCCTCTTAACACCCTAAGGTTGCAATATAGTCAATATTATGTAACAGGATAAAATAAGACAAAGGTTACGAAAACAGATACACATATAAGATTACATGTAAAACATACATAAACACCACCTACTCTCTTCAGTCGTGCGACACACACTGGGCGCGTTCCGTACGGTACTCATACAAAATCTATGGAAGACTTGCGTTCTGACGGCTCTTTTCCGGGCGGAATCGAATCAATATTCCGGAAAGCCTTTTCGAAACGGGATTCCGTTTCAGAATGCCGATTCGCGATTCCGAACGCAGCAAATTCATATAAAATCAAGGACCTATTACATACGTACAGTAGTTTTCCGTTCGAAATTTTCTTCGAGCACGTCCCACAGCCAGCACACGACGCGGTGCGAGTCGTGCAAGTGCAAGTGGGTGCGTACCTTGAGGAACATGGCGCGCTCGTGCTCGGTGAAGTCGTGCTGCAGCATGTCCCACAGCCAGCACACGACGCGGTTCGAGTCGTGCAAGTGCAAGTGCAAGTGCAAGTGGGTGCGTACCTTGAGGAACATGGCGCGCTCGTGCTCGGTGAAGTCGCGCTGCAGCACGTCCCACAGCCAGCACACGACGCGGTGCGAGTCGTGCAAGTGCAAGTGCAAGTGCAAGTGGGTGCGTACCTTGAGGAACATGGCGCGCTCGTGCTCGGTGAAGTCGCGCTGCAGCACGTCCCACAGCCAGCACACGACGCGGTGCGAGTCGTGCAAGTGCAAGTGCAAGTGCAAGTGGGTGCGTACCTTGAGGAACATGGCGCGCTCGTGCTCGGTGAAGTCGCGCTGCAGCACGTCCCACAGCCAGCACACGACGCGGTGCGAGTCGTGCAAGTGCAAGTGGGTGCGTACCTTGAGGAACATGGCGCGCTCGTGCTCGGTGAAGTCGCGCTGCAGCACGTCCCACAGCCAGCACACGACGCGGTGCGAGTCGTGCAAGTGCAAGTGCAAGTGCAAGTGGGTGCGTACCTTGAGGAACATGGCGCGCTCGTGCTCGGTGAAGTCGCGCTGCAGCACGTCCCACAGCCAGCACACGACGCGGTGCGAGTCGTGCAAGTGCAAGTGCAAGTGCAAGTGGGTGCGTACCTTGAGGAACATGGCGCGCTCGTGCTCGGTGAAGTCGCGCTGCAGCACGTCCCACAGCCAGCACACGACGCGGTGCGAGTCGTGCAAGTGCAAGTGCAAGTGCAAGTGGGTGCGTACCTTGAGGAACATGGCGCGCTCGTGCTCGGTGAAGTCGCGCTGCATCACGTCCCACAGCCAGCACACGACGCGGTGCGAGTCGTGCAAGTGCAAGTGCAAGTGCAAGTGGGTGCGTACCTTGAGGAACATGGCGCGCTCGTGCTCGGTGAAGTCGCGCTGCAGCACGTCCCACAGCCAGCACACGACGCGGTGCGAGTCGTGCAAGTGCAAGTGCAAGTGCAAGTGGGTGCGTACCTTGAGGAACATGGCGCGCTCGTGCTCGGTGAAGTCGCGCTGCAGCACGTCCCACAGCCAGCACACGACGCGGTGCGAGTCGTGCAAGTGCAAGTGCAAGTGCAAGTGGGTGCGTACCTTGAGGAACATGGCGCGCTCGTGCTCGGTGAAGTCGCGCTGCAGCACGTCCCACAGCCAGCACACGACGCGGTGCGAGTCGTGCAAGTGCAAGTGCAAGTGCAAGTGGGTGCGTACCTTGAGGAACATGGCGCGCTCGTGCTCGGTGAAGTCGCGCTGCAGCACGTCCCACAGCCAGCACACGACGCGGTGCGAGTCGTGCAAGTGCAAGTGCAAGTGCAAGTGGGTGCGTACCTTGAGGAACATGGCGCGCTCGTGCTCGGTGAAGTCGCGCTGCAGCACGTCCCACAGCCAGCACACGACGCGGTGCGAGTCGTGCAAGTGCAAGTGCAAGTGCAAGTGGGTGCGTACCTTGAGGAACATGGCGCGCTCGTGCTCGGTGAAGTCGCGCTGCAGCACGTCCCACAGCCAGCACACGACGCGGTGCGAGTCGTGCAAGTGCAAGTGCAAGTGCAAGTGGGTGCGTACCTTGAGGAACATGGCGCGCTCGTGCTCGGTGAAGTCGCGCTGCAGCACGTCCCACAGCCAGCACACGACGCGGTGCGAGTCGTGCAAGTGCAAGTGCAAGTGCAAGTGGGTGCGTACCTTGAGGAACATGGCGCGCTCGTGCTCGGTGAAGTCGCGCTGCAGCACGTCCCACAGCCAGCACACGACGCGGTGCGAGTCGTGCAAGTGCAAGTGCAAGTGCAAGTGGGTGCGTACCTTGAGGAACATGGCGCGCTCGTGCTCGGTGAAGTCGCGCTGCAGCACGTCCCACAGCCAGCACACGACGCGGTGCGAGTCGTGCAAGTGCAAGTGCAAGTGGGTGCGTACCTTGAGGAACATGGCGCGCTCGTGCTCGGTGAAGTCGCGCTGCAGCACGTCCCACAGCCAGCACACGACGCGGTGCGAGTCGTGCAAGTGCAAGTGCAAGTGGGTGCGTACCTTGAGGAACATGGCGCGCTCGTGCTCGGTGAAGTCGCGCTGCAGCACGTCCCACAGCCAGCACACGACGCGGTGCGAGTCGTGCAAGTGCAAGTGCAAGTGGGTGCGTACCTTGAGGAACATGGCGCGCTCGTGCTCGGTGAAGTCGCGCTGCAGCACGTCCCACAGCCAGCACACGACGCGGTGCGAGTCGTGGAAGCCACCGTAGTACTGTGTGTGGCGCCGCAGGTCGCGCAGGTCCAGCGGCACGTTATCGCCGCTGATCAGACGCTGCAGCTGCTCATAGCGACAAATTTACGTGTTAGAAGAACTCATTACATTAATGAGGGATAATATTCTTACGCTCACCAGATTTTGGTAGTACAGACTAAGGTGAACTTATTTGTTACGCAGATAGTCATACATAATCATTACAGACCTTCACAAGTCCACTGCTGAACATAGGCCTCCCCCAAGGAATGCCATAAATCATGGTACTGAGCCACCTGCATCCATCGACTTCCTGCATGTCTTACCAGGTCGTCACTCCATCTAGTGGGGGGACGCCCTATACTTCGTCCGCCGGTACGAGGCCGCCACTCGAGAACTTTTTTCCACAACGGTTGACGGTTCTTCGCGCTATATGGCCAGCCCATTGCCACTTCAGCTTACTAATCCGTTGGGCTATGTCGGTCACTCTGGTTCTACTGCGGATATCCTCATTTCTAAGTTTATCACGCAGAGAACCTCCGAGCATAGCCCTCTCCATAGCTCATTGAGCAACTTTGAGCTTCCTCCTCCGGCCAGCAGTGAAGGACCACGTCTCAGTTCCATAGGTCATTTTACGCAACACGCATTGGTTGTACAGTCTTGTTTTCAAGTTTTGAAGGATACCTGACGAGAAGATGTGCCGTAATTTCCGAACGCTACCCAACCGAGTTGAATCCGTCGATTGACCTCTCGGTCGAAGTTAGACTTACCTAGTAGTACTAGTTGTCCCAGGTAAACATACTCGTCAACAACTTCGAAATTAGTGCTCCCAACAACTACCGGCATAGGTGTGACATGGATATTAAACATGATCTTTGTTTTGTCCATGTTCATCTTAAGACCTATCCGTTGGGAGACACTTTTGAAGTCATTGAGCATAATGCTTAGGTCCTCCAGCGATTCTGCCATAAGAACTATATCGTCGGCAAATGGAAGATGAGTGATGTACTCGCCATTGATGTTAATACTGTATCATTTCCAGTCCAGTAGCTTGAAAACGTCTTCCAATGCAGTAGTGAAGAGTTTCGGGGATATAACGTCACCCTGCCTTACTGCAGTTGGATAGGTTTCGTAGTCTGATTCTGTACTCGGATAGCCATCGTAGCCTTACTGTACAAACACTTCAGCACTTCAATATACCAACAGTCAACTTGACACCGCTGAAGGGACTGTAGCACCGCCCAAATTACAACGGAATCAAAGGCTTTCTCATAGTCCACCTACGCTAGGCAAAGTGACAAACTGTACTCTTTGGTCTTCTGTACAATTTGTCGAAGGGTGTGTATGTGATCTATGGTACTAAAACCTTTTTGGAAACCGGCTTGTTCGGGAGATTGGAAGTCATCGAGTCTGCATGCGAGACGATTCGTAATGATTCTCGAAAACAGCACGTAGACGCGGCTCAGAAGGGAAATCGGTCTGTAGTTTTTCAAGAGGGCGTTATCGCCTTTCTTGAACAAGACTACCGCACTTCTGCTCCACGCCTCCGGAGAAGTGCCACCATGGAGGACGGGATTAAAGAGCCTCAGAAGGACTTCAAGTACCGGTTTTCCACCCGCTTTCAGAAGATCCGTTGTAATTCCATCCTCATCTGGGGCCTTGCCGTTTTTAAGATGCTGGAGAGCCATTCTAATCTCGCTTAGACTGACGTCCGGAATATCTTCGGAATAGAGTCGGATAAGACTCGATCTCGGATCGTAGAACCCATAGAACCTCTCAATCTCACTCAAAATCTCAGATGTCCCGGAAACGATGCTGCAACACTCGGTCTTCAGCTTTGACAGTTGGCTCTTTCTGACAGACATTTGGAGCCTTGATTCCGCTCGATCGCTTCTTCAATACAAGCTGTATTACAGTTGCGTAAATCCTGCCGCATCATGCATTTGGAGATCTGTTTATTCAGTTGCCTGTATGCTGTCAAATCTGTTGAAGACTGCAGTTTCATTTCCCGTCTAACAGCCATGAGATTGAGAGTGTGATCGGAGAGTTTTTGTGTTCTTCTGCGGCGGGCCTTGCAGAACTTAGCTCCGACCGCATGGACAGTTTCCACGAGCTTATTATTAATTAATATCGTCCACTTCATTGCAGTCTTCTAGGCCCTGAAAACGGTTTTGTAACTCAAGCTGAAAGGTTTCGGGACTTTGGATTAGAGCACGAGGGGACGGAGCGTTGACTTCATTAGACCAGACTTCTCCAACTTAACATTTAGGTTCAGTGTGCCTCTAGCCATTCGGTGATCGCTAACAGTTTTCACCCTCGCGATCACTGAGGCATCACTGAACAGTTGTCGTCTAAGTCGTCATAATGAAGTTAATCTCATTTTTTGTCGAACCGTCGGGGCTAGACCAGGTACACTTCCTGTGAGGACACTTCTGAAAGAAAGAGTTCGTCATAAAGAGTCCCTCTTTCTCTATGAAGTCAGCCAGCTGCTGGCCCCTTGGGTTCCGTTGCCCTATTTCAAATTTCCCTACTTTCAGCTCACCGTTCTCTCTTGGTTTGCGTTGAAGTCTCTCATTATCTCCCATTAACACCATATAGTGGGTTTTGGAGGAATGCATGGCTCTAGAGATATCCTCATACATTTCCTCCACCGTCTCATCGGGGTGTGCCGAGGTTGGTGCGTATACCTGTATTACTTTCAGCGAATACCGTTTGGTGATTCTGAGTATAAGGTACGCAACTCTCGAAACGAGAGACTTGTGGACGATAAATCCGACACCTCCTTGGGACAGATGGTCGGATTCGATGATTACCTTGTCTTCCCCCTCTCTCAGGACTTCGGATAATCCTATAATATTCCAGCGCAACTTTTCTATCTCTTCTTCCAGCTCCAGGATCTTGTCGTCAGTCCTCATGGTGCGTGCGTTATAAGTTGCCAGGTCGAGTCGTCGTAGGTGGCAACCGAACCTCCACCGGAGATTCTTAGCACCCCCTGCCCCGCCGTTACCATGGTCGTCACCGTAGCCAGGAATAGCGGAGCCGCCGGGGACTGGTGGCCGTCTCCTCGTAACTTTATTCGTCGGGGGGTATATATCCATAGTTGCCACGCTTGGCGAGCGGGTTGGCAACCGCAGTTTTATAATGTCCTTTTGCTGTTATCAGAAAGATGCTGCTGTCCATCTCCTGCTTGTTTCCCACTGTCGCCCTCTTACGACACCCACGGGAAGATATGGGGTAGTGGGTATTCTTAACCGCCACTACACGGCATAGTCATACAGTGTCATCATAATTGAAAAGTTGCGTTTGAAATAAAAGTTTTTAGTTTCTAGTGTATGTATAGTATATCATAGAGCAACAAGGGCCACCGGCGGCGGACTGGAGGAGAGTAGCCATAGTGTTTTCCCGCTACAGAATTGTCATTTTTTGCGTGGGAAAATCTGCGCACACAAAACAATCGTCTATCACTAGGAAACTCACACATAACCATTACAACAATAAACTGAAAATTTCACACTCACATAGATATATTATAACAGTATCAACAGGTAACAGCGACAACTCGGATACAGACTCGGATGGGTATCGGACTCGTATGTGCAAACACAAAATACCTATGTTAAGTAACATCTGGTAATGCTTGCTCTTGAATTGAATGTAGTGATGCATTCCATTCAAGAGCAGGCCTGAAATATTGCAAACTACAAGCGTGACAAAGTGAGATGAAACATACTCGTCCTCTGTCGATCTAGTAAAAAAATAAAAGGGGATCGTTGTTATTTTTGTAGCAATTTACAATAATTTGCCGAATTGCATAAAAGTTTGAAAAAAATTTTTGGACTAAAATATTTTTTTTAAAGTTACGATATGTGAAACGATTTTTTCGTAAGTTAATCGATAGGCAATATTGGAAGACTAAAACTTTGAGGGATATGGTTTTTTTGTACACACGTAGAGAATATCGCAAGGAAATAAAAACAAAATAGCTGCCACATAGAGGGAAAGGCGATTAGACCTCAGACTGTTGTGTATTTGTGTATTAAAATAGTTGTAATATAAGTAACTAGAATATCGCCAGTCCGTGACCGAACACACAATATATAAAGATAACGCCATGTTTTTGTAAATTTGCCGTGGTAGACCTCTTTATGCAGAAAAAAAAAATTAGCTATTCGGCATTTTTGTATGACGTCGATCCAGCCACGCAACTAGATTTAGTCAAGTGACAGTGCGGCTGCAACTAGTTTTATTGTACGCATAGGACCGCGTGAACTTATACTTTGACAGAGGGGAATACCTGCATAAGGCTACACCCCTCCGGTCTGCCAGTGGCCCATGTTGCTCTATGATAGTATAGACATAATTGTATTTTTTTATTTTTTTACACATTTTTAGCTTTTATTAGTTTTTCTACTTTTAAGACTATCCGTAATTTGGTTTAGTCATTTCTAATCTAATAAATATAAATTATAACAAAATTTCAGAAGAAACTAACCTCTACACTTTTAAAAAAATTAAGTTACAAGTGGCGCCACTCTCGTGGCAGAAAAGGTCGTACAACCCACAAACTAGCCAAAATAAACTGAACAAAGAGCCTCTAACCATAAAACTAAAATCACATTTATCAGCATCGATTTGCATTTAGCTAGATGGTTTTGGGCACATTTATACGCATCGTAAGTCAAAGGCTGCGAGAAATGGCAATCGCATGCTTTCAGCAGCTATAGGACACTATCGTATGCTATATAGTATGGCAGAACCCAACCGCGCTTCCCCCTCTCTTCTCTACTTCACCAACCAATTACATCGGTTCGCCTTGGTTTTTTTTATAGAATAAGGGTGACAAGAGAGCACATAGTCCACCTGATGGTAAGTGGATGCTTCGACCCATAGACATCTACACCTATTCTTGACTAAAAATGCAGATGCTATGTCACACCTGAGGACTAAGATGGAATGCCTCGTTTCCAGTAAAAAAATGTCTCCGGATCTCTACACTTGCCATACGAAACACAGCAGCATTAAGCTGTTATTTCACGCTGGTATTCTATGAGAGCGTGATCCTATCTGCCCTGGTCAAGCCGATTTATTCGTGCTACAAACATATTATAGCTGTCGCGTGTCCCTACCACGTAAAAGTAATTAGATTTTGATATAAGAAGAGCTATTTTGTATTAAGATGCGTATCCATCAATTCTCATTTCAGCACTGATTCAGTAAGTGCAATCAGATAATATCTTTATTTTCACAAATTTAATGTTAAAATTAAAAGAGTTAAAGGCGGGGATCTTGAGCATGTTCGAGATCGTCCCCGCCATTACGTCAGATTTGATAGACCACCAATCCTCGCAAAAGAACACAGATTTCTACCAAGGATGATACGAGAGGCTATTAAAATTAAAAAAAAACATCCTCCACTACCATCTAGAAACTGTGTAGACGGCCTTGCTCTTTTTGACCGAGACGCAGGTATCCTCGCCGGCTGATACTTCGTACCTATCCTACTCAGGGTACAAATTAGAACACCTCTTTGTATCCCGAGCTGGAGATGGCGTATAGAGATAGTGATACTCGGCGATTTTAACGCCCACCACGCCGAATGGCTCGGTATCATATGGGGATAAGATCTATATATGACTTTGCCTTTGAATATGGTCTGACAGAACTAGTTACTTCACCTACGCGGATTCCAGATGTGGAGGATCATGCATCTTCCCTGTTGGAAATTCTGCTGACCACCTGCGCAGGCAAGCACTATATGATAGACCGCACACTGCGGCACCCGTCTGTCAAGCTTTTTTACCTTGTCAATTTAGCGTAGCTTAGCAAATAGACCAATATTGTTTTGATACTAACGGCCAAAGCTGCTGCTAATTCAGCCCGTAGATTGAGTATCATCTGCTTCCACAATCGCCTTTAATTTGTCATCCTCGACCAAAGTTTTCAGACGACCACGGGGTTTATTTTTCAGGTCGAAATTTCCAGAACGGAAGCGGGCAAATCAATAACGGGCGGTGCGTTCTTTTGTAGTATTCGCTCCGTTAACGTCGTTGATAATTCGTCGATCATAATTACTCGAGTTTTTAACGTATCCATGATAACGAAAAAGATTCAAATGCAATGAAAACGTAACGATAATCAATACACAAATAACTAAAGTAAAATTAATTAGAAATTAGAATTCTCAGGCAAACAAAAATTATTTTGATTTGAAAAGGCAGTACTCCAGAATGGCAGGATATTATTATGATTATAGAATACAATAACTTTATACTAAAATTAAAAAAAAACCTTCCTTTTTTCTTATTAGCCAAAAGTAAATTTGTTCAAAATGTACTCTTGATTTCTTTACTATATTATATTAAATGAAGTCTTAAAGAAAATTATATCAATAATTTACTTTATTTGTATACTACAAGCCAATTACATTCTTACCTCTGGAGTGGAAAACAGTGAAAGCCACTCAGGATTGATGATAGCCCTGAAGCCTTTAATAAACGCGTTGGTTTGATCTTTGATTTGCGTGTGCATGCGAAAGTGGGCCATCATGTGAATGTAGTTTATTCTGTAAGTAAAGAATTACGTATAAGTTATATTATTAACTTTCCAATTTTATAGACTACTAGATGGGAGTGACGACCTGGTAAGAGATGTAGGAAGTCGGTGGATGCAGGTGGCTCTGGACCGTGCTTTGTGGCGTTTAATGGGGAAGGACTATGTTCAGCAGCGAGATTGTGACGGAAAGTAATAATGAAGATTATGATGATGATCATGATATTTAGAATCATGTCCGGTAGCATAGCTTACGTAGAAGCCGAGAAGCCAGGCTTGCCCTAACAAACTGGCTCAATCAATAATATCAACTAATAAAATAACTCGTAAACTGTTTCAAACCGCTCCTCTGTTCTACACAGGTTGTGACCTCGTAGCCTTATTATGTAACGTCAACACTTGGTAGATTGCTTTACTGCGCGATAATGCTGTCATAGTAAAGGAGTTGAGTTGAGCGATTAGTCGTCTCTCTTGCACGCGTGGGCTTTTTACCTGGCTTTCGAGAAGACGATCGCTCCCTTTCTAACCTGTGGCAAAATGTTCCATAATGAAATATAATTACGATTGTTTATATAGCAATTAGTATGGAGCCAAAAGCCCGCCTTTTGGTGTGAAGTTAGTCGAGCGCGGGGGCGCCCGGGAGATAGCGATACATTAGCAACTTCACTTCACATTTCAATGTTTAGGTACTCTGTGTGTTTACTTGTGCGAATTAATATTGCGAGTAGAATATTTATCTTTTTTAAAAGATTTCTAGTGAAAATGGAGGATAATAGTGTTCCTTGTGATGAATTGAAGTGTGTTAAAGTGCTAATCGGGAGGAAAAGGTAAAATCTTTAAACTTTGTTGAGAAACGTAATCAAATCTTTCCTTAAGAAAGAGAGACGATTCGATTTAGAATATAAATAATTTGTTTTTTTTTTTCTTAAATTTTATACATAGTTTGTTTGTACTTTGTTCATGCTTTTGTTTTGTTCATGTATTGTATGTAAATATCTTTTTCTTTCGCTCAAGCAAACCCAAAGGGCTTTTTTCAAGTCATACAATCTATCTAGCAGTAGTATGCCTTCTGTGTGCTTTGTTAAATACGTCCTCGACAGCACTGAATATGAAACTGAAGACTGGAGACAGATCAAGATTGGTGTATTTTTTATAAAACTGCTAAAAACAACAAAACTATATCATGGACTTGTCCTAGTTGGGAGCTCTAGCTTCGCCACTGAACATGTCGGTCACTCACATGTGCACAATCTTGCACATCAGTGTATTAGGTGGTAGAACTCTTTTTCTGCCTAGAAGTTCATCTGGGTCTATCTCTTGCCTACTACTCCTGTGTTCCGTTCTGAATGTCATCTCTATGTAAATATACTGACTCTCTAGTCAGCATATTTACAGCCTGTGAGGCATTCCACCTAAGTCCTCAGAGGTTACAACGCAAAAGTTGGCTGCGGGTGGACTGCATAGCCACTTTTTATCAGGTGGGGTGTAAGTTCGTTTGTCACTTCAGTTTTATAAAAAAAAATCGAAAAGAAATGTTAAAGAGCTTTAGGTTCGGGTTTTTGTAGATCGCTAGTCTCGTTCGTCTAGAGCTAGAGAATGCACAACATGCAATGAGATAGAAATTAAAAAAAAATAAGTTGGCAGTGTAGAACCACACTGCAGCTATATTATGGGTACAGCACGAATGTGTCGGCTCAACCGAGGTAGGACCACGCTTTTACATAAACCAGCTTAAAATAGCAACTTAATGCTGTGTTATATTTCAAATGGTGAGTGTCCAGAGACGCTTTTTACTGATACCGAGTGTAAGACTCACCCTCCTTCTTTATATAAAAAACCGTCTGTTAAATTAAAACAATATTTCATAATATAAACTACGTGTCCAGCTAATGAATATTGATATTTCCCAAGGACCTTTCTAAAAGATAAGTTAACGGCCGTTTGTTATATTTATGGCGTGATCGTTTCGTCTCAGTTGGTACCCTTGTTTACGTTGTGTTTGTTTAGTAACTTAGTTCTTTTAGGTGTCTCTTGAAAAAATGAATATTCACTAGAGCAATCTAAAGAACCCCGTTCACGAAGAACGGGCTCAAAAAAAGGTTAATAAACATTAAATTGTCCCTATTAAACTTGTATCAGGTTCACATCAATCTATTCCTTATAATCAATCCTTTTCCGTTTGGTAAAGGCTTACAATATTTATATAGAAATGCTCGATACAAAGGCTTCGTTCACACACATTTAAAAGAATATGGGGGAGACATACGGCTCCACACGAGCCGACGCCGTGTGCGGCGAGTGCCAACCCAAGTCTGGCTCCCCCGAAGAGGGACGAGAAATTGAGGACTGGACCGTAGTCCACCGCAAAATAACTGGCGAACCAGTAAAAGAAGACTTAGTCCCTAGGTGGTGCGAAAGCACAAACATCAACCGAAGTCACGCATGTTAATGTCTGTAAACGCCAGGATACGATCAAATTTAGCCACAGTGAATGTACGTCACACGGTTTAGAAACACGTCGAATAATAACCAGACCGCCGCTCTTGCAGACGTGATGTTAGAGTAAGGCATCACAATCAATTGCATGATCAGCACTGCCTCTAGCCGCAGAGCATGTCATAAGTCTACTGCTCACCTTGAGGGAATGGGGTCCCACGAGTCTCCTTCCTTCAGCTGCCCGCATGAGGTCGACACATATGCTCCACCAACCAATATAACGGCAGATAAAGCCAATGGCAAATAATAGGTCGCGAAAAAAGTTTCTTCGTATTTTGTTTGTATAAAATTGAAGAAAAATCTCTTTGGTTGTATTGTTTGTATTTGGCTGGTTTTAATATCAATACATAATATGAGCCACTTTCCCGCCATTTTTCCAATTGTTTTTTTGGCCGCCAAAATGAGTGATGAACGATGAAATTCCATAAATCCTGAAGTTTTATTACAAAAAAGCGAAAAATGCGACTTAAGCCGCGAAAAAAAATTGTGCCGTTTATCAACCTAATGCAGTGTCAGTAAGAGTAACACAAAGTTGGTTCAAGCGTTTTTAGTCCGGAATAATTGATGTCAAAGATGCAGCTCGCTCTGGTCGCCTTCATACGGATAAATTCGATGCCATTTTTGAAAAATTGGAACAAGATCGGCATAGTCCAATGGCTTGATATCTTGTGCTGTGGCGTACAACATTCAATGTTGGTGTGATAGAAATTTTTAAATCTTTTCGGCGGGTCATATCTCTCTTTTTCCTTTCTTCGTATGTTTCATATTTGTGAAAGTTCTTTACTAAATGAGTAAGTGAAACTAAGATATACAGAGAGGGAACCTTTAATATGCCAAGATTTCGGAAATGTTCCTTACACGATTCAATTTGTGGAATACGTAACATGGTACGGATCGCCCTTTTTTGTAGTACAAACGCTGCCTTAATATTATACTTATAACTATTGCCCCAGAATATTATGCTATAACGTAGTTTAGATTCTACCAGAGCAAAATAAACCATTTTTAGCTGTTCTAATGTAACTTCTTCTCGTAAACTTCTTAAGGCATAGCATGCTGAACTGATAGTGGATTCTAGTGCTTTGATTTCCTTTTTCCAATTTAAATACATGTCTATGTGGATTGTTAACATTTATTGAATCTTTTTGTCTTGCTGTAGATTTAAAAAGCATTGCGTATGTTTTATTTGTATTTAATAAAAGATCGTTTGTAGTAAGTAATACTGCTAGTTAATTTAATACTTAAAAAAAATCCAATAAAAACATTATTCGCCAAACACCTGCTAATATTAATGAATGATTGTTTTAATGACGTAATACTCTTTTCAATTAATGAATAACATTCGGTCATGGCGAGCAGGACCAAACACAGGTGCATTCTCTCTCAATAGTGAGACCCTGACGCTCATAATCCGATGGGACGGCAATCCGACACGACAGCGTCGCAGGACTAACGCCTTTACGTGCTTTTCAAGACACGGAGGTGAAACACCGCCAACTTCCTGGCTCCGAATCGCTACTGAGAATTTCTTGAAAAAAAAAACCTATTAAGTGATTATTTGGCCGCACCCTACATTTGAACCTATTTGACACGAGTTGCTCGCCGGCAGTAACAGTAAAAAAAAATAGATTTCCCTTTCAGAAGTAAGAGTGAAGAATCGGCACACAGTCCACCTCCATCCATTAACCAATGGTTAAATGGACCAACATCTTCAATTAGATTTAAGATTATTATTAATAATGACTAATAATTAGTAATGACTAATAATAAGTAGTAAACTTCTACCTCGGAGCTGAGTACAATTAGGAGTCAATATGGGATCATTATAAAAGGAGAAGAATGTGTGTTAAAGAGATGGAAAGAGCATTTTGAAAGTTTGTTTGAAAGAGAGGAAGTGCAGGTACAGCATCTGCCACCTTCCACGGAAACTAATATAAATGTTGATGAAAATGAGATAAGCATGGATGAAATAGTGAAAGCGTTGAAAAGTATGACATTAGGTAAGGCTGCAGGGTATGACAGGATTACCGTCGAGATGCTGAGGGCTGGACAGGGCCTGGTGGCTTGTCAGCTGTACCGCCTTTTCAATCTGTGCTGGCGAAATGGACAAGTACCGGGAGACTGGTGCAAAGCCGTAATCGTGCCATTGTATAAGGGAAAAGGGTCACGGCAGGACTGCATAAATTACCGCGGTATAAGCCTTCTCAGCGTCGTCGGTAAATTGTATGCGAAAGTGCTGATTGAAAGGGTTGTGAATGAAACAGACGAGAAAGTATGGGATGCACAAGCGGGATTTAGAAAGGGAATGGGGTGTACGGATCAGGTCTTTTCCTTGCGGTGCAAAGCCGAAAAGTATTTGGCAAAAAACAAGAAAGTCTACTGCGCGTTCGTAGATCTAGAAAAGGCCTATGATAGAGTGGTGAGGAATGAATTGTGGTCAGCACTGTCCGTGAACGGTGTGAGCAGTATCCTCATACAAGCAATGCAATCTCTTTATAGGGATTCTAGTGCTTGTGT